GTAATAGTAGAGTATTAGTAGTCGTAGTAGTAGCAGCAGCAGCAGTAGTAGTAGTAGCAGTAGTAGTAGTAGTAGTAGTAGTAGTAGTAGTAGTAGTAGTTTGTTTCTTTGTTTCTTTGTTGTTTAACGCCGCACTCAGCAATATTACAGCTATATGACGGCGGTCTGTAAATAATCGAGTCTTGACCAGACAATCCAGTGATTGACATCATGCGAATCGATCCACGCACTTGAGATACGATGACATGTATCAACCAAGTCAGCGAGCCTGTCCACCCGATCCCGTTAGTCGCCTCTTACGACAAGCATAGTCACCTTTTATGGCAAGCATGGGTTGCTGAAGACCTATTCTACCCCGGATCTTCACGTAGTAGTAGTAGTAGTAGTAGTAGTAGAAACGACAGTAATTTCAGCTAAATATATAGGCAAACTTGTTCCCTGATCACATTGTAATGAGAACACTCAAATGATTCTGTTAGCGGTCTTGCCAAAAGATGGATGAAGCTGTTACAAGTACAGTTAGTTTCTCTGTGTACACTGATGCTGAAGAAGCAGAAGTTAGTTTTGGATGGGGCTAAAAAGAGAAGTTAGATCAGGTCATTTTTGCGAGCCATTAAACTTTTGACGACGGGAATTTGAACAATGTAACAGTCACCGAGAGATAAGATGACATGCACCAACCAGGTCAGCGAGTCTACCTTGCAATTTAGATCCCCTGGTTGTTGTTGCATGGCTTCATTAGTTCAGACAATATTTGAATAAACTAATGGATGCCGCTTTGGCACCCTTGAGTGTTTTGAAAAAAAAAAGTTTTTAAAAAATTGCCTCAATTTTCACATTCGGCTGTTTTTCGTAGTATTAAATAAACACATAATGAACTTTTCAGAGTATATAGATGTTGAATACACTTGATATACAGCATATATGTTTAAAACTTTTTGTCATGCATGTGGTAGAAGGTTTTTTAAACATTAAAACGTAGGAAATTGTGATTTTCTAAACTCTTTTATCCAGACAAAATGTAATCAATGCCATTTTACTACTGAATTGTGAATTAAATGTATTACAGTAGATAGAAAAAACAAATATTTGATTTTTAAATTTCTAATATGAAGTTTGTCATAATTACTTTGATTTATATCATGAAAATGGAAGGACTCCATTTTGTGCTACTTATCGAATTACTTATTTTGCCTCCAAACGTCCTCTGCTGGCGCTTGAGATTAATAGGGTATATGGTAATCACATTTTAATCAATGCTCAAGGGTGCCAAATTGGCATTCAGTTGTTTCTTGAACTACATGTCTTAAACTAATAAAATCAGCAATAAAACACTGTGGGGCCTAAATTCTTGTTACTGCCCTTACATTAAAAGTATACAAACCCAAAAGCAGTAAATCTAGACTAACACTTAGCCTCTGAATATATATATAATCTCTATAGAAACAAACAACAGACAGGTCAGTTCCACTTAGTAGATGGAAACATTCTATTATTGGACAAATATTTGACACAAATTGAGGTGGGGTATTCTGTGAGTGTACTGTATCGATAATGGGATAGTTACATAGAGAATCTCACCCGAGTGTCTTTTGATATCAAATATATCAACACGAGTTGATAAAAGCGGAAAAAACATTGAGGCTTGCCGAGGAGCTTTTCCACTTTTATCAGCAAGTGTTGATATATTTGGTATCAAAAGACACGAGGGTGAGATTTTATTTATCCTCCAACATCATACTTCCAACTTTTTCAGTTTGTAGAAAGTAATAAGCAGTGTCTAAAGTATAAAAAGTAATGCTTACAGCTTCAGTAGCAGAGCCATTAGTGATGTCATTTGATTGTGACGTCATGGTAACAGTGACGTCACAATGGTCTGCAAAGCATTGTGATGCAATTTCATTGCAGCGATATCTACAGTGTAGATAACGCTTGATCTCACCCAAGCGATATCTCCCGAGGGAGCCAGTTTTGTATGATAAATTACATTCTTTGATTCACCTCTGACGGGGACTGACAGTGATTAATTCGTGACTCGTGGAAAACGTAGTGTTTTTCTGGTTTGTTTGGGATGACAAATCAGTTCTCTAAATTCGGTAATTAGTTGAACTCGCGTGGATTTTATATAATGTTTAGTAAAGAATTTGGGACGGTTCGTTATAACCGTTAAATCGTTATATTCGGGTTCGTTATAAACACGTTAACGGACATGATAAATGCACTTTCAAATTGTTTCATTGTAAACAGTAACGTCTTCTACAGACCAAATTATTACACTACAAGAAGCGTTGTGAATACACAACTGAGTGCCTTATAACCATTACAATCATATATATATAAAAGCATAAAAGCATCCGACCCGTGAAGATCCGAGATAGAATAGGTCTTCAGCAACCCATGCTTGCCGTAACAGGCGTCTATGCTTGTCGTAAGAGGCGACTAACGGGATCGGGTGGTCAGGCTCGCTGACTTGGTTGATGCATGTCATCGTATCCCAATTGTGTGGATCGATGCTCATGATATCAATCACTGGATTGTCTGGTGCTGACTCGATTATTTACAGACCGCCGTCATGCAGCTGGAATATTACTCAGTGCGGCGTTAAACAACAAACAAACAAACAGACATTAAAGCATGCTAATTGAAGCACGGAAACGTATTTACGATAGAGGGTTATAATACGTTCGAAATACACCAATGGCGAGAAGGAAAACACTTCTCGGTTATAAAACGAATATATATTTTGGAAAAGACTGGCAATATACTTTATTGTTTGCATCCATAAATTGTCGAAAATGATATGGGGTGACAGAATAATTTCAATTCATAGATGCGGAGTAAAATCCACTTCGTGGCTGTGAAACATCCACCATGATTTATACATATTCTGAACCGTTTGAGGAGAAATATGTATTTCTCTCATTTTATCGCCCTGCTTCGAGTGAGATATCGCCTTAAATTAACAGCCGTTGAACCAGCGCAATGAAATGTCGGGGAGACAGCCTGGCGCGTGTTGTGGACGAGGCTGTATCATGCGCTCAATCAACAATAACCACTTATGAACTATGTCTGGTGTCCCCCGCCGCGAATGAATTAATGGGTCACTCACTCACTCACTCACTCAACCACTCACTCACCCAATCACCCATCGACTCACTCACTCACCCAACCATCCGCTCACTCACTCCCGCAACCACCCACACACTCGCTCACTCACTCACTCACCTACCCAACCACTCGCTCACACACGCAAACATCCATCCATCCATCCATCCACTCACTCACTCACTTCAGCCTCGTCTACGAGTTGTTTGCGAGTTTGTTTAATTTTATTATTAGTTACATGATCCTGTGACAGAACTGTAGTAGTCGTACTGGTAGTCGTATTAGTAGTGGAAGTGGCAGTGGTTGTGGTTGTGGTTGTGGTTGTGGTTGTGGTGGTAGTAGTAGTAGTAGTAGCAGCAGTAGTAGTAGTAGTAGTAGTAGTAGTAGTAGCAGAAAAGATATTAATGTCAGCTGCAGTGGCTACAAATATAAGTAAAAGTAAACATGGTCCCTGATCACACTGTAATGAGAGAACTCAAATGATTCTGTTTTCATCGTTTAGCGGTCTTGCCAAAGGATCGATGAAGCTGTTAAAAGTACACTTAGTTTCTCTGTGTACACTGATGTTGAAGAAGCAGAAGTTAGTTTTGGATGGGGCTTAAAAGAGAAGTTAGATCAGGTCATTTTTTAGCGCCATTACACTTTTGACGACTTTTGAACAATGTAACAGTCACCGCAACCACACACACACACACACACACACACACACACACACACACACACACACACACACACACACGTAGCCACACATACACACACCAACACAGCCACACACGCACACATCCAGCCACACACACACCACCCCACCCACCCCCACAGCCACACCACACACCCCCACACCACACCGCCCCCCCCCCTCCCCCCCAACACACACACACACAGCCGACACACACACACTACACATACACACACACACGCGCGCGCGCGCGCACACACACCAGACACGCACGCGCGCGCGCGCACACACACACACACACACGTTAAGCCGTTAAGCCGTTAAGTACAATTATCTATTGTGTATGTGTGTTGAGGGGCTTCCAACTTCATCCACAATGTTTCAAGAAACGGCACCTGAGCGTTGACTTAGCGAGATTTTAAACAGAATGAATTAACTGCTACAAATCACGTGACTGCCTAAATTTCGTTAAATGTGGAACTAGGCGTTGATTGACCAATTACATGTGCTGTTGACCGACCAATTAGTATCTGGTGTTAATCAACCAATCACGAACAACCGGTTTAAATGAGACCGTGATCAGTGCTGTACCGGGCCGTGACCAAACGTTGAACTGTTAGTTAAAGAGATTTCGGGTTATGAAAATAAATGTTACCAACAGCTCAATACAATAGCTATTATGGAGGGGTCAGATTCAACGAGGCCAAGAAACAAATAAAATGTCACTGAAAGCATTATTATACATGTATAGATTCTTGCTGAGTTCAAACAGCCATAATCATAATTATTCCTGGTTCGCAAATGCTAAATATTAATGTAATACTGCATACAATTCGTCTATTTTGAGTTCTGTTAAAATATTCAATCTCCGATAATCAGTTGTGTATGTTTATAGTATTATTTATTGAACTTAATGTAATGGTCTATGTGAAAATATAGCTTGGTTGCGTGGGTTCGCGGGAATGGCTGCTTCGTCTGAGGTTCGCTCAGACTTGTGTTATCAGTTGTAAGGAAAGCAGGATTTATCGATTTCTCTAGTTAGTTCCTATCATCGCCAACAGAGGGCACAAATCAACAGGTGCACGCGCGCCAAGCAACCTCTGACCTTGTCAAAGTGTTTCAGTCTTTTGTTCCCATATACGATTTGATTGGTCAGGATCTGAAGGTACGCCAGTTTTGATTGGCTGGGTGAGATCAAACAGCCGCACACTGTCTACAGAGAAGGATGCATGCATTGATTCATTATATACCAGTGAATTGGCTGCAAATTCGAAGCTAGGAACTTATTAAGCATAGAAAGTGTTGTGACAATCGCATGGAGAATTCTTAGCGGTAGCGGAGTGGATACTGTCATGAATTGCGACCTGATGCCATGTGTTTTTCTAACAGGAATCGCTTTACTAATTTTTGGTAAGTAAACACGCTTTCTTTTGAGTTTCACGTAGACTTGCCGCACGAGATATGCGATGTGCAGCGAGTCACTTGGCAATTTAGATAATTATACTTGATTACATGCTTGCTTCATTCATATTGCACTGTTGACAACTCGGCGGTGCAGCTATTTCTCCGTGAGTAACGGCGAATGCACTCGGAAGCTAGCGGCATAGCGCTTGTCAAACTTCACGTAACACGTGGGGGTTGCAGTCATTTGTTTACAGTGGCTGTCAGAGTGCGGAGCGTTTGTTGGCAAACTGAAATACGACTTTTCTTACAACTATATTGGCTCCAGTATCCAACAAGAGATTATTTCATAGGCAATTGAGATTGCTATTTTAGTCTGAGCATTGTCTTCAGAACAATAACTGTATGATGTCTTCTGACTCAGTCAGAAACTGCACAATTACACGTTTGTCGGAGTTGGCGTAGTTCCAAATGCAGCCAGTTTCTTTCTTGTGTCATTCGTGCCGGCGTGAAGATTAGTGTAGCGACGGTTTCCGCTGTGAAATAAGAAATAGATCAATTCTTCTGGAGAGATTTCTCTAGTCGTAGATCATTCGGCTCTGTCGAACTTTTGTGTTACCTGTGTTTCCAGACGTTGTGCAGGCGGGCCGCGTTAAAATGAAAATATATCGATGTATGGCTCAGATCTCTATCCACACGTTCTGTCCAATGTTTTTTTTATATATTTAAAAAAAATAATATTGTAAACTTTCTTGGCATAATAGCATTGTTTCACCTGATTCCTTTATCCCAATGATAGATTCTTGTCTCCCATGGAAACACCTTGGAAAAATTCAAGGAAAAAATGCCATTTCCTCCTGATATAGATCTAATACTGTTTCATTAAGTGTAATTTTATATAATAAATTTTAAATGTCAAGTATAACTCAACAGTAAAATATGTTGTAAAATTGTATAGCGTACATATCAAATTATTCAGTCTGATAATTTACATGAATTATCTTTAAAGTCTTTGCAGTCATTAATTATTAAATTTGAATAATATAACTGTTAACAGCTAACATTCCCATTATCCTTAAGGTCATTTCAGAATAATGGTGGCCACGTGAATGCAAGCAGTGGAAAAAAACAACTTTTTGTGCATACTGCTTATATCATAGGCTTCCCGTTTCAGTTAAACGAACCAGTATGTTTGCGGATTTTCAGGATCATTCGGAGACAGAATATGTAGGTGAATGTCCGTGATAAACACACTCTCTTTTTACAGACACAATCAGAATGATACACAAAAAGTATATCTTCAGTCCATATTTGATAATATATTTGTTTACCTTTGCAAAATTTTGGGTGTCAGCCTCAAGACTAGAACTTATCTAGTCTTTGGTTTTAATCGTTAAAAGACGTTTGATGACCTTGTTTCTTATACATGTGAAGAAGAAAATATTCTCATTAGACTGCTTCATCATTTATGATGCTATTTTCCAAATGACTGATAAGAACTTTGTATCATCAGGATGCTTTTTAAAGATTTACATAGGAACGTCTAGGAGAGATACAGAGCCGATAATTGCTGTGAGACAGAATCAGGTGGATCAGGTTGGATGGGGATGTTTATGGGCAATGTTGGTAGTAAGGTAAATATCATCGATCGGCCGAACATTAAGCCCAAAGTGCAAAAGTAGTTCAATTACAAGCACATATGTTTTGACATTGTTTATTTCCTCATCAACTATTAGTCCGATTCCACCAAATCAGTTTCTTTTTATTTCTGTATTATTATTATTATTATTATTATTATCATTATTATTATTATTAATGCAGGGATAGATTCATCCCTCTAAGGCCTCTGGAATATTTCATAAGTAGCCCAAATGTTTTTTGAGCTTCTATATGTATTGAATGTGATGATATTATGGATGCAGGTGTCTGATTTATTTTGTTCAAAAGTTGGAATTCAAAAAATTCTTTGCTCCAGACTTGGGTCCAAATATTGGCCACTGAAGAGTTCAAGATATTTCCATGGAATGTGTTTGCTAGAATGGCAGTTGTTACGTTTTCATGTAACTCATTGATAGGTATCATATTGCTACAAAATGTATTGAAACGGTCAGAACACTCATTGTCCTCTGTAAACCAGTAGAAATGAATGTTTGTTTGTTTGTTGTTTAACGCCGCACTCAGCAATATTACAGCTACATGACGGCGGTCTGTAAAATAATTGAGTCTGGACAAGACAATCCAGTGATTGACATCATGAGCATCGATCTACGCAATTGGGAACATGCATCAACTAAGTCAGCGAGTCTGACCACCCAATCCCGTTAGTCGCCTCTTACGACAAGCATTGTTGCCTTTTACGGCAAGCATGGGTTGCTGAAGACCTGTTCTACCCTGGATCTTCACTGGGTAGGGGACAGGCACTGTATTGCTATTCACAGGTATAGAAATGAGTGAACCCCTGCAGGTTATAGTGTAGATACCTGCAGAGTGACATATGCTAGTTGTACCACTGGAGTATATATATACACAGTGTATACAGTTGTATCTGTCTGACTCTGCAGTAACATGCTGTTATACCACAGGTGTTTATTGTGACAGCATCTGTGGAATAAACACATGCTACACACCTGATAATTAGTGGTATTGTTTGTCGTGAGATAGCGTTAAAGGCTAACTTAACAGTCATTGCTTGTTTCAGTGAAGTCTTTCAGTCACCTAGGGGTTTATCCAATCTTCTTAACTACCGTATTCGACGTAATAAGCACCCCGCTCTCATGGCGATATTTGCTAATATATTGGCACGTGAACAATCCCAATTAGCACCCCTTCAGATTGATCAATGTAAACAAGACTTATTCATTCCCGTATAATACGCACTCCTGTGTCATATGCACCATTAATTATGGGCAATTAAATTTTGGAAAAACATATCTGCCGTACATAAACATTTCAGGCTGTCAGCAAACCACAAAATTTATCTTTCAACTCTGTTTTTTTTCACGAAATAATATTCCAATAAGAGCCCCCTATTTCTAATTTTGAGAGCGGCCTGGGCGCTTATTACGTCGAATACGGTAAGTACCCCTGGCAGGCAACTTTGGAAAAACTTTATTTGGGAAACAAAATTAAGTTTCTCCAATTCAGAGGCATTTTAAGATTTTTTTTGAGATTGCATTGCAAGTGATAATATAAAACTAAATATTCAAACCTATTTCTAATTATCGGTCCTGTTATCTTTGAGATATAGGTAATCTCTACAAAGCCATCCCATCCATAAGATCAGTTATTAGTTATATATATTAATACGAATTGGGAAATTTTAAATTCCAATTTGGGAATTTGTAATTAAATTTGTGGCACGAATATTGGCTTCTGAGCAGGTCTCGATAAATCCCTGTCGCTAGCTTTCTTCCTAAAACTGAATAGTATGCGACTATCTCAAACTGATAAAATGTCGTAATTACAGAGAAAAAGTGTTGATTTTACACAAGGTGCTAATCCCAATGTATCTACTTAGGCCTGTACTGTAGATGGGTGTGTCATGTAGGGCTGGGACAAGTCCAAATTTTCTACCCAGGTACCCGACACCCTATTACCCAGCCCTACCCGAATACCCGCTATAGGTCTCAAGAGTTGGGAACAAAATGTCCGAATGGGAATTGTTTTACTGCAGCCCTGGCAAAAACTATTCAGATACATGTATACAACGATCTGATTTATGCATACACTGCAGTTGATAGACGCTGTATCCTTACTCGAACATATAAAAGTCAGAACGAATGCTTGCATGGTGAGAATGAAATGTGAACATTAGCTAAACTTGTAGTGTAACCATTGAGTTTTATTGTTAATGTTATCAAACAGAATATCACGTGACTAACCACATGTCCGGGTAGTCATGTGGGTACCCGCGTCTTACTAAGGACCGACCCAAGTACCCGAGTTACCCATCCCAGCCCTAGTGTCATGTTTTAATTAAGTAATTTGATCGGTGATTGATTGGTGAACCAACAAAGTGGAATTTTTTTAATAGTTCATTAGATGAATTTATGGGGGACAATAAAATTGAGTACACAACTATCAACACGGCTCTAAAGAAACAATTTAAACTCTGAACTAAAACACTATAGCATGATAACCAGACAAGATTTGCAATCTTCCAAAGGTAAGAGCGTCCACTAGCCTTTTTATCAAAGTCTTGTTTCCACCCTTGCCCACTTTCCTGTGCTAAATATGATTGGACTTTCCCACATATCAATAGTCCAATCAGAGATCGTTTCACAAAGTCAACATCCACGACTGGTACACGTTCGTATGAAAGTGATTTACCACTGCCTGCCTTTGTGGACACTAATATGTCATTTACATCTTTTAACCCCCCCCCCCCCCCCCCCCCTGACGATTGCCTATGTTTTTTGTGTCAGGGATGAAATCGCAGATGTTTCCGTTTTCTGATCGACAAGGTCATCACCTATGGTAGTCGTCATCTTTGTGAAGAACAGAGATCTGATTGGATATCATGTTTTCATAACAAGGTGCACAACTCGTGATCTACGCAAGGTGGCGCCAGGTTCGAGCCAAAAAAGTGGCCTTGATGTGGCAAGGGTAAAAACTAGGCTTTGATATAGGCTTGTGGACACGCTTGCTTTGGGAAGAAGAGATTTGAAGGCTTGGTGCCTTGACTAACAGTACTTCATGTGGCAAGGATAAAAACTAGGCTTTGATATAGGCTAGTGGACACACTTGCCTCGGGAAGATGAGATTTGAAGGCTTGGTGCCTTGACTAACAGTACTTGATTTGCAAGGGTAAAAACTAGGCTTTGATATAGGCTAGTGGACACGCTTGCTTTGGGAAGATGAGATTTGAAGGCTTGGTGCCTTGACTAACAGTACTTGATTTGCAAGGGTAAAAACTAGGCTTTGATATAGGCTAGTGGACACACTTGCTTTGGGAAGATGAGATTTGAAGGCTTGGTGCCTTGACTAACAGTACTTGATTTGCAAGGGTA